TATGAAAATAAAAAAAAACCATTAAAATTGAATACACTTTATATCATGACATACACAGAAAATATTAAAATCTAATGAATTTCAGTAACGTAAAAATTAATTTTACAGGCTTAATTAATACTGACTATATGAGTATCGTTGGTGCTATTGCATTAATTATTATTATTTTATCAGGGTTGATTTAAAATTTAAAGCTAAAACCATCAGTGGAGTAAATACACGGCAGACATTGATAGACGACTCCCCAAGCTTTATTTTTAATTTATTCGCCATGAGTATTGACAAAATTCTGTAATTATTTTGCGCCTATAATCGGTATTTAATTGTTTTCACGTCACCAATATTCCATAAAATAATAATTTATGTATCGATAATCAACGTCCGAAACAGACGTTTCAGCCTGGATCCTTAATGGTTTTAGATTCAGATTTCTCATAATCAGAAATTGAGGTTTTGATGCACCAGTATTAATTAGTTTTCCTGACTTTTTTTTTAAGACTCTTCTGTGTTTAAACTCTTAATGAAATAACCTAAAACTATAAAATCAAAGTTTAGAAGACAAGGCACTAAACCTAGGTAATAAATTAGATTGGTTAATGTAATGACAAAATTTAAAAGGTTATTTCGTCTACGAAAATTAATATATTTTTATTAAATGTATTATTGGAAATTTAATACATATTTTTGTTTACAATACAAACTACTTATTTCTCATCGGATTATAATTATTTATGTTAAAAAAATTATATATACATAAATATCCAAACGATTTATAGATTATAATACATTTATAGTTTACGTATACATTTTGGATTTAGTTCTACTAAATCGAAATAAAATAATCAGGGATTCACAAGACTTAACGTTAATCACCATTTCTTTTCCAAAACAATAAAACGTTAAAAAATCAGTTAAATTTTTAATTGCACTTATAAAATCCAAATAATTAATAAAACCAGTGGATTGAGCACCAATGTGATAACTTTATATTCAAAATAAACTTCATAAGAGATTATTATTATCAATTTAATAAAATAAATTACAGTGAACAGTATTATAAGAAAATTAATTTTGCCATTATACATTTGCCGTTTTAATTTGATTATTTCATCAAGCTTATATTATAGCAATTTGTATACACAAATATGCAAACATTACTCAGATTCGCTCATTAACATATTTAACAAGGTGTGCGTTTATACAGGGTAAGATAATCCTAAGTAAATATTGAATAATAAATAGTTGAGTGTATAATTTTTTATAATTCTTAAACACACAAACATAATGTTATGACAAAAAATAACATTATCATTTAATGCTCAAATCGTTCGACTCATGCACAATTATCTCGATTTCATGTACTTTTTTTATTTCTTTAAAATGCATTGTTATACGTTTTGACTCGTATTGACTTCTAACTAACAGATTTAGTTATACATATGTCGTAAATTCTACAATTTATCGTATAAAATTTTAATTTTTATTGGATTTCCGTGTCTGTGGATATCTACTGTGATCACCATTACGGAAACAAAACAAAATTGGATTAAACAATTATAATATTTAATGTAAGATTTTGAATTATATTTGAAGTTACATAAGCTTATTTTAATGATAGTGGGTATTTGTTTTATGAAACGTCCATTATTAGTTTCCCGGAACCGAAATATAGCAAATATTTATAAACTGTATAAGTTTGAATTTAATAAAAGCAGTTTATGAATTCCATCATATCACGTTGGTGTTTTTATTATATTTACATTATATTTAATTTTTTTTTTTTGCTTTTAATATTTAAAATCTAAAACATCTATGTTCTGTTATAGGCATTGAGTAGGTAGGTAGTTTAAGTAAAATCACATTAACTCTAAGTGTATTGATTTTAAATAATAACAAAATACCTATATTTTAGTGGTTGTATTATTATTATATTATGTAGCCTATGTTGTCTTACACTACAAGAAGAGCCAAATCCGACTCGCTGTATTATGATACACGTATGTTTTACATTATTGTTTTAAATGAAACCATTATGTTTGTAATTAAATGCCATAAATCAAACTTCTGTAGAGCGGCACTATAAATGTATGATGTAACTGTATTAACTGTTAAGCAGTATTCGTCATGGAAATTATCCACAGCACTGTAACAGCTGGTCTTACATCTCACTATGCATCAATGATACCTGACGTGTATATTATTATACGAATTACCAACGCTTCAATCTCCCGTAACCAGTAAATTTATTAGGAAATCTCTGAGGGATATTACTGTTGACATATTCCGCAATAATGGCTTTTCGTGATTGTTAAATTTGGCATGCCAACGGTTCTAACGTGGTACATCTAGTTTTGTAATGGTTTGCATTTGGAGGTCTTTGTATGAACTATTGTTAGTTATGCCGCATCCTTAATTAGTTCAAAAGTTATTGTTTGATAGGGTTGAATGGAATATCGTATAGTATACATTATACAATCTACACGCATAATAGAATATTTCTCATTATAATATTTTAATATTAATTTCAAAAAAAATATCGTATCTATTTTATAAATAACAGAAGTTCATCAAAAATTAAACTGTATACACAATATGTACAGGGTATAACTTATACAAAAATACATTACAACAAAAATAAAAAAAATTCATAAAACACTTTTTGTAGCACATTGTATAAGTTATTATTACGATGGCCACATAATGTATTTGTTCTCTAGTAAGTATCTACTAACTTTTTCGATTATGTTATGTGTATTCATGCAAGTTCACTGCACAATCAATCAATGGCACAACAACAAAAGTCAAATTAAATTATGTTTCTCTAGCTTTAAATTGTTGTCTCATACAAATAGTTTTTTATCATCAAGAATAGTATTAATGATTCATAATAAAAATTGGGCATACATTATTTTATTTTCCTTCATTTTAGAACAATAATTGTCAAGCCTGAAATGTATTATGGATTAAGGCTCATGTCTCAAAAAGAAAATCAAATCTATACACACTAGGCAACTATACATTTAATACCATGATAATACTCATATTGTTTAACTTATTGAGAATACCAACTGCTCATAAACAAGACAATAACCACTAATAATATTTTAAAGTTTAAAGTATTTGGTAAAACAATAAGTTAAAAAATATATTTAAATCTAATATTTTTTGTTACAAATTGAAATTAATTTTATAACGATCATAGTTTTTAAGCAATGTAACAGATAATATTTAACTTTTATATTTTACAATTTTGGAGCACATAATTTTTTTTATTGAAATAAACCTACAATCTATACATTTTTGTACAGTAAGTGGGTTTGTTAAAAAGTAATACATACTAAGTGTAAAAATTGAAAATTCTCATCGTTAATTATATTACTAATTAATATTTTTAAAGAATTTAATTTAAAAGTAAATTGGGTATTTTGAGCAGGGTTTAAACTTGCCAATAATGACATAATTTACTTTCAGTTTGTTGTTACTTTCTAAATATAAGTAGTTATTTAAATAGGAAACAAATAATTTACTGAAAAAAAAATTGTTCATTCTATTGAGAGTCAATAATATTGTGAAAAGATCAGACATTTTTATTTGCATGATTTACGAAATATTATTAATGTTATGAATCTATTGAAAATGTCCATATTTTTGTGTAATTCATTTAGATGTGAGTTGATAATATTATGATCTCAGAGCAGGCGTAATTGCTATTTGAGAAAAATCAAAGTTATTTAAAATATTCTTAAGGTTAATTCTCAATGATACTTTTATATTGCATAATATAGGAGTACAGGAAATCTATAAATATGAAACAAGAAATGTGTATAAATATAATACATAGAATTAAAACGAATTACAATATGTCCTTACTAAAACATTATGTGAGAGGTATATTATTGTGGACAGTTATGTATTAAAACAAACAAATTTATAAAAAAGTGACCTACCTACGGAATTTTTATTACCCGCGTCTACATTTTAGTCATAATTTATAATTTTACCAAGTTTACTTACTGTTTTCAATTAAAATTATTACCATAAATTATGCTGTAATATAGTTCATTGCTGACACTGCCCTGACATTATTTATTATTACGATTTACTGTAATTTTAGAGTGTTTATATTAATGAAACGTTTACATTATGCTGAATAATAAATTGCAATTTTTTCTGTTAAAATACTTTTTACCAAACAAAAATAATCAAAAAGGGTTAATATAATAACTAATATAATAACTACGAATTATTACCTAAATATTGTTTAATGTGTGTTTACTAACCTCGGTTGTCATAATGTATTTTAAATTCTTAACTTATAAGGCTTATAACTTGAAACTTATAACATAAGCACTTAGCAATAGTAGCACATTAGGTACCTAAAATAACAGGTTTTTGAACTGAAACCTCTCCAGAAAAAGAAAACCTCATTTACATATTTTAAAAAACAAAAACCAAAGCCAAAACCAATATTACGGAGAGTAGGCAATATAAGAATTTTTTCCTTGTTAATGGTTTTGATGATTTTAATTTATCTATCTTTACTGAATCGTATATTGGTAAATTTCACTTGAAATGCAGCTTAAAACTGGTATTAACCGAAGGAAGCAAGCATTTTCAAATTATGAAGAACCGGAAACGAAATTTGCATTTAAGAAGACCTGGAATCGAAATGTTGAAAGTTTGAACAACCAAACCGAAACTTAAAAATCATAAACTTCCTTGTTGATGGAATAATTGTAATGTGTATGTTATGTGAATGCTATGCGTGTACGTATACTTAATTTTAATACTATTAAATAGTATAAATTATCATTATATCGATAATAGATCGCATATTCAATTACATTATGCGTATAGTGTAGATATGTATGAGCTCGGATTACAGGTGGACATTTGCCGTAAAGTAATCATTTGCATTGTAATTTTAAAGAAAAGGCATTAGGTATTTAGGTACCTATATATTCTATTATAATACTCGTGCGACCGGTATCGTGACTTACCGTTTCTGGTTGATGCGACGAACACCTTGACCAATCGTGGTATAGCCCATTCCGCCGTGTCCAACTCGCCCCTGAACACTCTTTGCACCTCGTCCTCGTTATTCATTTCTGCGAATCCATATCTGTAACCATAACGAATGACCGACGTTTATAAACATTTCACGGCAACTGAAGTTTGTATGTCAACTCGTGAAAACGTGATAAGATAATATTACATATTTTATAAGCAAAATAAAAAAAAAACACTCGTGATTGTGTACACGGCCTAATCGACCACGGACCAGCTTCGCGTGTGTTCATTTTGTAATCATTGTAATGTAAAACATAGTACATCATGTGTTATAATACCGTTCGGAAATCCATGATTATGTAAGTTTTTTTTTGTTATCGTTTTGTTTGTAACGGCAATTGATCATCACTCGTACGTCGTCCATAATGTAATATGATAATACTATTATTCTGATGATAGTAAATAACAATTATAACAGCAGCGAAAATATAGTAGATAAGTAAGTAAAAACATGTACCAAAACAATATGCTCATCTATGATTGAACGCTGTGCATGAATCAATAAGGACGTTTCCCCCTCGTGCCTTTTCTCCAACGATACAATGGACGTTCCCTCCCCCCCACCATTTTAACGGGACAAATTACCCCCGGACAAAAAAATAAAAATAAAAATATTAAACAAAAATAATAATTTACAATGCAAATAAATTTGCTCAGTATAATTCTATTAAATTAATGTATAAATATAATTTAATAATACGCCATAATAACACTTTTGCTATTTGCCAAATACCAATACAAATTCACTTATTAAAAATATTAAACAGTATACAAATACAAATTATAAATACTTATACAAATATGATATAATTAAATAATAAAAGTAAAAAAAAACGTAACTTTTATTTTTAATTCTGGTAATATAGCTAAAAGAAATTAAAAAATTTAAAATATCATACTTTGAAAAACTTTCTCATAACTTTTTTAACCTATCGTCTTTACCTAAATTATTACGAAAAACTCCTGCTATATAATTTTTTTTTTTAGTTCATAAGTTTTTTATTCGCTCTGTCACAGAAAGAAAAAGTACAATAAGAACAACTGATGGCAAATATAAGCTAAAATAAATAAAAATAAAAGGGCAGATTAGACAGACTGCTGAAGTCTTTAAGTGGAGGTAGCTCTATAGCTTAAAATGTTTATTGATGCACTCGAGTTGCTCATCTGTAGAGCTTCAATAAAAAAAATTAATGATAATAGTCAATACCTAGATGCCGATATCGATATGATGATTATGTATTTCAGGTAAAACCAAAGAACCTATTTTCCAACCTATCATTATGTGTACAAAAAATATATATTGATTCAGGCGCGAAATGTCTCTGTCCGGAGGACGGAAATAGTTTATCATAAATAGAAAGAAAAACAATAATACTGCTATAAATACAATACAAGGATAATTGAAGGCCTAGGCACCTATATCAGAGTAGACACAATATGTATAATTTATTATTTCTGATATTCAATAACGTAGCATACAGAGTTGAGGATAAATTTAGTTGATTATGATTTATGATGAACTAATTTAAAGCAATTACTCATCGAAAATAATATTCTTCAGTATTTTAGTCACGCCAGTACTATACTCGCATTATATGCGATAGTATACGTTTGTATAAATCGACATTCTTATAACAACACAACAAGAAGGGCTTTTATCCATAATACAGATTATAATCGTATTTCCTATACTCTTAATACTATAATGGTTCAATTAATTTATGTGTATGTACAAACTATTCATTATGTATACAATGTATACACTATACAATTATTATAGAGAATCCATTAAACTACATAAATACATACTTAATACCAGAGTTATTACATTAATTAGATAGTACCCACCTATAAAACTAATAATATAGAGGATAAAAGATAAAAAATAATATCCTAGTTAATTTTGCTCTTATAAAATCGACTAAATATTTTTTAACAATTTAATTTTTAATTTGGAGTTAAAATAAATAAATCAAACTATAATCGTCATTTGTCAATGACAAAATGCTTAACAACGTATCATTTAAAATAATTTTTTCATTAATTATTTGTATTTTTTTTTTTTTATGATTTTGTTGGGTATATCTTTGTTCTATTATAACTGTTGGAATTATTTTGATTATTTTTATACACTTATATCGGTTAAGAAAGAAAGAAATAAAAATTTGATATTTTGTTTTTTACACATTGTAAATTAATTACGTAAGTATTTATACATTGATCAATAATCGGAATATATTATATTATAATAGACAACATAACGTCCGGGTAATAAATAATAAATTATTAAAAAGAATTTTTAAATATTTCCTATAATTCCCTAGAATTTCTGGGTATTCTAGAATTAATAATTACGTTTCATGGAATTGACCAACCCCAATAAAGTTTCATTGTTTTACGTCAAGTCGTATAAAAGTACTGTTAACATATTTCTAAAATAGTCTATACATTACTTTTAATTAAACTATTATAAACTAATTATAGAGATGTACATTTACTAGCAGAGACTTTGTACCATAATCTTATTTTTAACATTGTTGAAATAAATGTACTTAATTATAGAGTTGATATTATAATATATTGTATAATTGTTAAGTTTTCAATGAAACTTCCGCTGAGTGTACACATATATTATAAACATCATTCTTTTGTGCCATAGACGTTTAGTGTAGGTACAACTATCTTATACAACTGCTCGAGAGGAGTTTTTCGTCTGAATCATTATGATTATTTTTCATCTGACCCAAATTATAATACATAGTTATTCACTAAAGAACGAAAAATCACAGAAGTAATATTATTATAGAATTTCGATGCCATTAAAAATCAAAATAGTATAGGGATACTTCGAACGAGGTAAGCATATAAAGCGTATCGGTTACAAGTGGTCAGTGAAAAGTTTTTTGAGAGGAAGAATAGTCAGATGATAAAAAGAAACTTTTCATTTTGGTGGACCGCTCGTTTGAATTATCGTCTCTCTAACTTTATGTTCGTTACATACATACTCACACAACAGCGATACTCACTAATGACTAAATACTTTCAAATATTTACATTAGTGTTTTGACAGCAAAGTTAACAGTTGTTTTATTGTTGTTTTTTCCTAACCTTACCATGACGTTTTGATTATTGTACTTTGCCATATATTTTCGAAAATACTTTCAATATGGAGTTCATATAAAAAATGTTTAACTGTTTCAAAATAAAGTACTGAGTTGTATTTATTTCGTTTAATACCTAATTTCGCAATAGTACAATATTTATTGTTCAAGCATCAGACGAAATATGTTCGTAACCTCCTATTTAGTTTTTTTAGATCTAAAAAATGTTCCATAGGTGTTTAAATTGCGACTGCAAAATAAAAAAATAAACAACAAATGTTTTTGCTTTATTAAAGCTTGTCAGTCATTTAAATCAAAATCAAATCATTATGTAATATAATAATATTTTTATTGCGCAGTATATGAGGTTTGTAGTTAATTTTAACGTTCTTGCAGAATGCATTTATAAAATATCCAAACCAAATCCATGTAAAGCATTACACGTATTAAACGCTTTTGGTAATTTATAGTCGTTTGAACAATAAACAGTGCGCAGTGTTATTCGGCGAGCCAATTTCAAATAATAATCATTTAATTCAAAATAGAATTTTACTCCTCTAATCGTTTTGCATATAATACGTATATATAAATGAACTCGCGTGCAATTCCACATAATATAATAAGGGTCACAAGTAGTCATAAAAATCACTACCGCTGTTGTACGCACTAAAATAAAGGACCCTTAATGCAGCCCTCGGATCGAATAAAACCACACAAGAATATAATATATGTATTTATATCGGTTCGGGGCAAAACGCCATAAAAATATCCACTGTAAATCCAGTCGTAATTTTAAGACTAAATCTGTTTACTCGGACACATTAATTAGGTCTTAAATTGAAAATAAGATTTTCTTGCTTACGATTAATTCATTCGTCGGTTGTGGAGGTGGGTAGTGGTGAAGAAAATCAGTCTGAACAAAATGCAACTTAATTCGTTTTCAAACTATTGCATCAAAACGATCACATCACTAGTTGTACGGATTATATTATTATGTACTCTCCGCTGAGCACACTGATGAGTTATAGATGCTGTGATGTTTTTCGAGTGTGCAGGACGTTTGTAAAATAAAAAGTAAACGGATTATCACGATCACATGAACAGACATAATGACGTTGTAATCGTGTACGTATAAGACGTTTGTAAGTACACACCACTGACATTGACAACAATATACAAGCATATATGGTGACAACATGGGTGTGTTTACGGTCTGGGTGGACTAGAGGGTGCCATTGCCTCGGGGGAAATAATTTTAGGGTTTTATGGGTGGCTGAATAACTGTTCATAACTTACGAACCCCGCCCATCGTCATTCGTCAATCGGCTGCTGATATGAAAACTTTTTATCATATTTTATTTTTTTTTTTTTTATACCAAATATAATTTCAGTTTTGTTATAATATTCGTTAAAAAAGTATATTGATAATATGGTAACAGCCTACTCACTGATAGTTGTATATAATTCATTTAATCTGTGATATGGTTAACTCTGCTGCAACTACTGATTTTCATACTATCTGTTTAGCTTTATTAACGCTACGTATTATTTAGCCAATAATTAGTTATTTTAAATCTTAATTAAATGGCTCATAGATATTGATTGCTGTATTCATTATTTTGGACCACAATCATTATACAGATACAGTCCTATAATTGTATTGATATTATAAAAACAACAGCATTTTCAAATAATAGGAAAAATAATAAAACTAAGTGGTGCAGGCAGCTATTGGGAATTTAGTTACATAATAAATGTGAAAAATACAGTCATTATGTAATTTCTATAGAGTTCCAAAGCTATACAATTACTATATATAACGAAGCAACCTTAATATTTGACAGTAGGTACCGAATTAATGCTGAGTGTTTGTCTTTTTTCGTGAAACCATTTTGTGTGGAAAATTTTGTAACCGCGGTGGGGGGTAAAACACCCCTATTAAGGGGTGCAG